CATCCGTGCCTCCGCTGCCCTCAGCCGCCGCAGGAGCAGCAGCAGCTCAACGGATTGATTAGCCCCGAACTGCGGCACCTCCGGGCGGCCGCCTCCCTCAAGAGCAAGGTCCTGAGCGTAGCCGAGGTGGCCGCGACCACGGCCACCCCTGACGGAGGCCCCAGAGCGACTGCAACAAAAGGAGCCGGGGTACACTCTGGCGAGAGGCCCCCTCACTCCCTCTCTAATAATGCAAGAACTGCGGTCCCCAGCCCGGCGGAGGCAGCGGCGGCGAGCGATCCCGCGGCGGCCCGCAATGGACTGGCCGAGGGCACCGAGCAGGAGGAAGAGGAGGAAGACGAGCAGGTGCGGCTGCTGTCTTCGTCCCTGACCGCCGACTGCAGCTTAAGAAGCCCTTCGGGCAGGGAGGTTGAGCCTGGAGAGGATCGGACGATACGATATGTCCGATATGAATCCGAGCTACAAATGCCCGATATCATGAGACTGATCACCAAAGATCTGTCCGAACCCTACTCCATTTATACCTATAGATATTTTATCCACAACTGGCCACAGCTGTGCTTCTTGGTAAGTGGATAGAATAAAAAGAGGGTGAACCCAGCAGTGATCCAGACTGTGCGGGGCAGGGAGCGAGGGCCCAGAGTGTGGCAGTGGATATCTCCTGCTGCTTATCATAGTACGTTATATGATGTCAAGTGCGTGTACACATTCCTAGTTATTTAATGAAACTGTTTTGAAGGTAAGACTTCATGATTCGGGTTAACGTGATACTAGTGTAACTGCAGCAAGCCTGTATGGTGGCGTGTTTCACTGCGGTGGGGGTCTTGTGTCTTGTTTACATTAGATTATAATCGTGTTTAACCGTCTTTAATTGCCCGCCCGCATCCTCAAACACTTCACAGTAATTTAATTTGAACATGGTTCTGTTTGGATAGAGGCCTTTTAGTCTCTCAGTTACAACTATAATCAGGGAAGAGTGTATGCATAAACATGTTTTGGTGAACATGAATCTCAGCAAACTTGGTGTGGCCATATTGGAGAATTAAATCTTACAAGCATTTTCAGTAATTATGGAGATATTTCCCTTTACTTCAACAGGACAATTAACAGTTGTAGCCAGCCTGCTTTCTGGTACTCCATTGCAGAAAGCGCTACTAACACTTCTGGTGGCTGAAAGACTCCTGAAACTTGGACAAAATACCCTTTTGTGGAATGTAGAAAACTTAAGTGTGAAATTGTTACCGATCTGATTTTATTTTTTTTAATTTAAGAAACTGGTTGAAGATGTGGCCAAACACTAGTAAGACTGGCTTGTGTAAATTATAATTGACAATAATATTACACGTAGGTGAAAGACTTTTGGACAGTTTTAAAAAATTTACATAGTATTGGCAGTACCAGTAATTTCTTCACAATAATATTGGCCCATTTCAGTCTCTATGAACCCTTTAACTTAACTGTTGACTGCAGGTGTATGCTTTGTATCATGTGCTCACAAGCATATTGTTTCTAGATGACATCCATTTAAGGAATATTTTATAATATGTGAAGGGAAAAGCCACCGTTACTTAGTGTTTTAGCATTGGCTTAGTTTCACTTAGTAATTCCCTGCAAGATATTTTGACAATACTTCCCTGTCTTTTTGATTATCTAGCTTGGTGGTAATTTGAAAATGTAACCTGGGTATTGTAGATAATGGTAGTTCTATTTTCTGTCTTAACTTTGCTTAAACTTCAGTACATTTGTTTAAACTGTGGGTACTATTTTATATTCTTGAAAACTGCTCTTTCGGTATTCTAAGCATTGTATCAGAATAGTTCTAAGACATGTCTATGTCAGTGAATATGAGAAAATGATTTATAGCACTATTATAAATGTCATATCAAATGCCACTGTAATTGCTAAAAATTGTAGATTTAGTTGTAAGTTAACCCACAGAAGCAGATGATTGAGTCACATTTCAAATTGAAATAGATGTTTTTCTGTCAATTCCAGGAAATTGTTGTATATATGATATTCAGTCAACTTTTGAGTCCTGATGTTTACCTAAGCCTTTCTCAACTTGTCTGCCATTTTAGACTCTGGTCAACAATATTAGTAAACTTTAGTTTTGATTTTATGTAGAACCCTTCCAATTCACCAGCTAATGTGTGTGTTAGCCTTTAGTAGCTCGTTTGTTTAATATTAAATTCTGAATATCTAGAAATTGCGATATGCACAAGTGGTTGACCTATAAGATTTACTAGTGCCAGTATGAATCAGGAGGTATTAAACAATAATAAAACAGTAGTTAAAAAACAACCAGGCCATTTAAAACTGAAACCTTTATCTTGGCATACTTTTACATTTAAGTTTCCCATAGGAACTATTTTTTTAAAAATGCAAATGCGTAAATGTATATGTTTATTTTAAATCATAACCTTTTAGAACTGAAAGGCATCCTAGAGATAATCCAGCCCAACTTAGGTTTTGTTCTGTTTTGGTTTTTGATTGAAAAAAAGAACCAAAGTGACTCAAAATGTTTCAGTCTCCAGATATTTACTGACAGAAGGGTAAAGCTAGAACCCAGTTCTCCTGGCCTCTCATTATGGTAACATAAGAACCTGAAAAATGACATACTCTTGATCCATTCAGTGAAGATTATTGTGTCAGCAAGTTATCTCCACCAAGTGACAGTTGCCCTTACAAACATCAATCTCAAGAGATTAGAAACCTCCAAAATGTTGCTTTTTTCTATGGATAACCTGTAATGGGTCAATGGACTATATAGGGTTGAACCTTACAAAATTGCCAATACTTGATTGAGTAACAAAAATAGTAGCTTATTATGATTCTTCCTAATTGTGAAAGATGTAAAAAAAAAAATACAAATGTGAGACACTTTCAGTTACTCTGTACTTAACCATTTTATCTTTACCTCTTTTCATAGTAACATTTTCAGTTGTTGGTACCTTTTTGAAGTTCTTAAACTTTGCTCAGCGATGTAACATAGTATTTCCGTTTATTTGTTCTAAATTTAACTTTTTGGCTTCCTCCAGTTTTCTATTTGTAGTGTTCTAGAATTTGGGAATCTCTCACTTCATATTTTTCATAGTTTTATAGGCTGACAACTCTTTGGCCTTGTAGTGTTAAGTCTTAATCTTGCCAGGGATTTTTCAGTTCCCATCCTTGAAAAAATACATTTAATAGCATGAATTCCAAATGTATGTGCAGAGCTTTTATTAGGAAAAATTGACAAGCAATTTAATGATTCCTGTAAATGTACCATATATTCGCGAGTGGTTTATCAGGAAAAAAATGCAGCATTGGTCTTCTTCACTACTAATATCATCTCTATGGTGTATGATATATTAGACTTTTTAGATGATATATACAGCTTGATTTTTGCTCCTACAGATTCTAAATTAGGAAGAAATCAGGTCTTAAGAATGAACTAATACAATCTTTTGTTTGCTTATTCCATGCTCAAGGGACAAAGATTTGTTTGAAATTCCTGTTCAGATTGAAAGTAGTGTCCAGTTGTATTGTTTTAATTTTTCCTCATTTTTGGGTAGTTTATAAGGTGTAGCTGTTCTTGAGGTTTATATCATCGATCTAATACAGATTTTCATTTCACATGAGCCTGACTTATGAGGTCAGGCCAAAATTTTTTCTGAGCCTTTTAAATATACCATTTGGTCTGTAATAATTTTATGTATGTGTATGTATTTATATGTATTTGTATATACACACATATATTTGAAGTGAGTTATTTTCAGATCAGAAAAAGCTTTCAGAGTTGTTCAAGGCAATTTTTATGCATACTTAAGGTCTTTGTTTAAAAAATTTTTTTAAAAGATTGATATATTGTGAGGGAAAAAAAATAGAAATAGCCATTTCAGAGGTTTATTGACCCAAAATAGTTTTGGAATGTGTGATAAACCAGAAATGAATTAGCGTGGGTTGTTGAATTTCATATTCCTTCAAAAGAATTTTTGACCTAGTTTAGGTTTGCATGAAATGGATTAGAATTTTCTTGCCTAAAAGATTTCTCCACAGTTAAAGGCTTATTAATCAATTTACAGAATGCCAGACTAAAAAAGTCACAAATTTAAAATATGTATTAAGTATAAATTGGACATTATTAATTTTTTAACTCATTTCTGCTTTTGTTGAAATAGCTTCTTCTTGAAAACTAATTTATGGAAAACAAACTTCTTACTGACACATTATTTAAACAGTTGGAGATATTGCCGTATTTATAATTACCAGAAATACCATGTTACTAGAACTTCTTATCAGCATTGGAATTTTTGAAAAACATTTTTAATGGTAACACTAGAAATCTTAATGAAAATGGGGGATGATTAGAATTTAACATGTAGCTTTTACTACTCGGAAAGCTGTACATTTTTATTAAAATAGAAATTTCTGTAAAGTTAAAGCTTTTAACGTAAAGCTTTGATTTTGAACTATAAGTATTCTGAGAGCTTTATGACAGTTATCCACACTGTCAGGAGTATCTTAAAAATGAGACTATGCTATATTTACATATATTAACAAAAAACCTTTTAGGTATGATCTAATCAATACCTTATAAACTGTGCTTTTTCTGAAAATTAAAATTTTTTTTTTCTGATCACAATCTACCATTCAGGTGTAAATATGTATTATATGTAGCTTTCACTAAAACTTCATTAAATTTTTTTCTTTTTTTATTTTATTGAGATGGGGTCTCACTCTGTCACCTAGGCTGGAGTACATTGGCACGATCTCAGCTCACTGTAGCCTCTGCCTCCCCAGCTCAAGCCATCCTCCTATCTCAGCTTTCCAAGTAGCAGGAACTACAGGTACATGCCACCACACCCAGCTAATTTTTGTATTTTTGGTGGAGACGGTTTTGCCATGTTGCCCAGGCTGATCTCAAACCCCTGAGCTCAAGCAATCTGCCCGCCCCAGTCTCCCAAAGTGCTGGATTTACAGGTGTGAGCCACTGTGCCTGGCCATTATTACTAAATTTAACTATTTAAAATTATATTCTGCTGATGGGCAAGTTTTACAATATTTTATGTCCTAATAATTTGTTTTTGCATATTTCCTCTTCCAGAAACTTAGGTCTTTGTTGCAAATAATTGTGATTATAAGCACCTCATACGTAATCTTATAAAGTACTTGAATGTTTACCTTGTGGAAATCTGGTCTTTTTTCCCTAGGCTTTAATAGTAAGCATAAATAATTCATGTTTTAAAGAATATTGAGAAATTTTAACACTAGAACATTTAAAGGAGTTAGGGGATTTAGATTTCTGAAACTTCTGTGACTGCTCTCTTGTAAGAGTTCCCGTTATCTCTTCCCCCCGTCAAAAATGCCTACCAGTGGTTGGTTGTTGTTTTCTCTGGATCATTGTGCAGTACCTGATGGCAATGTATTCTTCATAACTGTTTGTTTATTTTTAAGGCCATGGTAGGGGAGGAGTGTGTAGGTGCCATCGTTTGCAAGTTGGATATGCACAAAAAGATGTTCCGCAGAGGTTATATAGCCATGTTAGCCGTGGATTCCAAATACAGGAGAAATGGCATTGGTAAGAAAAATATTATTTCATAGAATGCCTAAGCTAAGCTATTTTCATTTTTGTGTTTTGAAATGAAAGACTTAAATGTAAGTATGTAGAAATGAAAAAACTAAAGGAAGAAAAGGCGGTTTATAATTTTTAATTTCTAAATGGTATTTTTAAAAAGTTCTTAAAATGAGTTTTTTCTTTGTTAATGTTTTGACAGTTTTTCTTTTTAACAAGTAGCCGATCATCAGTTTTTACCTCCAGATTTTTTTTTAATCACATTCAAAATGCTTTGCATTATACTAAGTAACACAAGAAATACTGCAATTTATAATTACATTATGATGGTCCTTCATCCCAGCCTTCAAGCACTTGTCTGTATTTGGGTTAAGTGGACCTCAATCAAGCCAAAATTATGGAAAAGTTGTTACCATTACTGGTGTTAGTCATGAACCGTATATTGCAGTTCAGAAAAGATCAGGAGATGAGAATTGATTGTTTCTTATAATTCCCAAACTTAATTTTTTATCGGGTGTACTTTTCCTGACATGTTTAGTTAATCTTACACTCATGATTTATAATGATCCTTAGAATCATGTGGGGTGGTTTAAAAACATATTTAGACCCCTCACCCTGAGACTCTTGTTTGTCTTGTCAGAGGTGGAGCTGAAGCTTCCATGGGTGACTGTGATGTAAGCCTGATTAGGCACCACTCTTCTATCACCGGGTTAGATAACTTTTGTCATTTAAATAACGCCATAAAACTCAATAGGCCTCCGGGTGCGGTGGCTAACGCCTGTAATCCCAGCACTTTGGGAGGCCAAGGCAGTTGGATCACTAGGTCAGGAGTTCAAGACCAGCCTGGGCAAGGTGGCAAAACCCTGTCTCTACTAAAAATACAAAAATTAGCCGGGCGCGGTGGTGGGCACCTGTAACTCCAGCTACCCAAAAGGCTGAGGCAGGAGAATCGCTTGAACCCAGGAGGCGGAGGTTGCAGTGAGTGTGCCACTGCACTCTAGCCTGGGTGACAGAGCAAGATTCCGTTTCAAAAAACCATTCTTCTAGTCTCTAGGACCTAGTAGCTCTATGTTCACAATGGAGGATTGGGTAGACAAGCATTTGTCTAAGCATGTCAAATTTTGTGATGTGCTTTAGCGAGTATTCATAAAAAAAGTTTAATACCTGTACCAGTATTTAATCATTAGCAGTTTTGTCACTTACGTTTTTTAAAAACTATTAAGTGTTATTGTCCAAACTAAGACTCTCACACAGTCCTAGATATCATGAGAAGTAACTATAAATAGGTTTACTTAATATGTTAGGTTTAGCCAACTTTATTACAGTGTTACAGCTTTCCACTAAGATTTTTAATGAATTGGGCTTGTTTTATGGAGTAAGTTTGAGCCTTTGATGCATTAAAAAACACTGATAAGGACTCATGATAAATTATAGCCAATTGTTTGGCTAGTTTGGAGGGCAGAAACCAGTGGCTTTAGGGTTGCATCCTGACCTTCAGACATACTTTGTTTGGGCCATAAAATGTACGCATACTTGTATGCATGCTTTGAAAATTAAAGAGTTTTTAATTCAATTTTATTATTTTTTGAGACAGTCTTGCTCTGTTGCCCAGGCTGGAGTGCAATGGCGTGATCCCGGCTCACTGCAACCTCTGCCCCCCAGATTCAAGCAATTCTTGTGCCTCAGCCTCCCAAGCACCTGGGACTACAGGCATACCCCACCACACCTGGGCTAATTTTTTGTATTTTTTGTTTTTTTGTTTTTTTGAGATAGAGTCTCACTCTGTCGCCCAGGTTGGAGTGCAGTGGCACTATCTCGGCTCACTGCAACCTCTGCCTCCTGTATTCAAGTGATTTTCCTGCCTCTGCCTCCCGAGTAGCTGGGATTACGGGCACCCGCCACCATGCCTGGCTAATTTGTTATTTTTTAGTAGAGACGAGATTTCATCATGTTGGCCAGACTGGTCTTGAACTTCTGACCTCCGGTGATCCGCCCACCTGGGCTTCTCAGAGTGCTGGGATTATAGGCTGAGCCACCGCACCCAGCCAGTGTTTTGTATTTGTAATAGAGATGGGGTTTTGCCATGACCTCGGCCTCCAAAGTGCTGGGATTATAGGCGTGAGCCACCATGCCTGGCTAGTTTTTTGTATTTTTGATAGAGACGGGGTTTCACCATGGTGGCCAGGCTGGTCTTGAACTCTTGGCCTCAAGTGATCTGCCTGCCTTGGCTTCTGGAAGTGCTGGGGTTATAGGCGTGTACCACCGCGCCCAGCCTAAGAGTTTTTAACTAAAATTTGTCTGTCTTCTCTTAAAATCAGATTTGGCAAATTTTTTCCCTTTTAATATACCAGTTATATTTGACCCTAAACTAGGATACATTTTGCTAGACATTTACAGACACACCACTGACATCACTGGGAGTGCCAGACTTCATCGTGCTCACTATAAAGTTTATAGGAACCTACTGTGGGTAACAGCAGTTCTGATGAGGTTGTCTTGTGCCTTGTGTCCAGGGGAGTTTGGAAGATCTTTGGTGAGATCAGCTCGGGTTATGCAGTAAGTTCTGGCCAACTCACGGGGAGTTCCTGGGTTGTTCTGGCCATACCACATCTTGTCTTTTTCTCTTTCCCTTTCCTCCTACTTTCAAACACAATAGAACAAACTCCTGCTTGCGGCGAATAATTATGTCTGAGAAAAAGGAGTATATTGGGAGATAGGTCTTTCAAGAGGAAACGTACTGTTATGTATAGGTTCTATTGGCTTCTCTTAGCTTATAGCTAAAATTTTTCCCCCTTAATTTGAGATAATCTGTATCTGGATTCAAGATAGAAACTAGCATTTGACATTTCTGTGCTTATGAATATTATAATTTAGGTTATCTTTAAGAAATACATTTTTCCTTCATTAATACTCAGATCTATATTCTAGGTACTAACTTGGTTAAGAAAGCTATATATGCCATGGTTGAGGGAGACTGTGATGAGGTAAGTCTTTAAAAATGTTTAATACTTGTTTTCTGGGCATTATTCTTACTGGGTATTTTTTATAAATATTTTGTAATTTATTGCAGATTTCATTGCAGTTTTACTACACAAATGCAGCTTGTGGGGAAAATTATATTCCATTTAAAAACACATGAATTTTTGACCTAGAACAAATTTTAAAATGGAGCTAAAATTTCTTCAAAATGAGTGGGTGGCATCTTAGACATTTTCAGTACACAATTTTGGTATTCAGAGGCTTTATCATCAGTTTTTTAAGGTAGCTCTTATTATAGACTCTGTTATAATTTGCTTACATATTGGCCTTAGTTTCTAACAGTGGGAAAACTATCAGTCTATATGGAGGACATTTCACACTTGAAAATAATCTTTTCGGAATTAAATAATGACAATGTTGCTAGGGGGAAGACAACCACTTTTTAAGAGTAGCGCTAGCTGCGCATTAATGTAAGAGCATTTTCTCTCTTCAGCTTGTTTGTAAGGTCTGATGGCAGATACAATTTCTTTGTATCCTACTGCACTGTGTTTCTACATATAGTAGGTGCTTGATAAATATTGGTGATGATTAGGAATGTTAACATTTACTGTTGTACAGTGTGGAAGGGAACAAGTATAAACTAGAGAAGTATAGATGTCTTTAATATAGCAGTGGTGACTGAGGAGGAGCAAAGTTGTACTAGTACTTTTATGAGTAATAGAAGTAGCAATTTTTATTATTAGAGGTCAGATGTGCCTTAGAGAATTCTCAAAATATGTGAAATTGGGTAACTTTTTTCAAAATATTGACCTTAATAATTTGTTTTAGTGACTTAAAAGAAGTGGATTTTTTTTGTACAAAATTTATACACAGCATATATGATATATGTGCATGTGTTTTTGTTAACAAAGTTCCTTCTGCCATTCTCATGCTTTTCAAGTCTTTATCCATCTTTCCATTGATAGCTACTGTTTTTTTGTTGTCGTTTTTGTTTTTGTTTTGTAGAGATGGGAGTCTTGCTGTGTTGTCCAGCTGGAGACCACTCCAGCTCCTGGCCTCAAGTGATCCTTCCACCTCAGCCTCTCAAAGTGTGATTATAGGCATGAGCCGCTGCTCCTGGCCTCTTGCTACTGTTAACTGTTTGAAATGCGTTCTCTCATTTTTTAAACGCACCTATATGCAAATATATAGTTTTTAAAAATACAAATGAAGTAATTCTTATTCAGTAATTATTAGCAATAATAATTGCTTTTTTCTTTTAACAGCATCTCATGAATACATTTCCGTATTAGAATACAGAGATTTGCTGCTGAGCATTCTCAGGCTTCTTGTTCACACTAGGCTCTATTCTGACGGATCACTCTAAGTGGTGGTTATATGAGAAGGCCTCCAGACATAATAGGTGGCACAGTGAAGTCATCCTGGGATTTAAAAATATCTAATTTTACTCCAAAGAAATAATTCACAGGTGTCAAAGGATCTCACATTGTTCACAGCTTTTAATATTAAAATGCAGTAGCCAAAGTTTTACATGACTGGTAATTGAAATTTTGAGCAGAGAATTGGATCGGATATGTTCATGAGGTATAGGTCCATGTTTGGACCATAGCCACACTGCTTGTCAGCTCATCGAGAAAAGTCAGGTTTCACAAAAGTTGCTTAACAGCGTGGAGAAATCTTTGGGATAATAGATCATGTTTTGATCTTCCGCAGAGTAGAGAGATCCAGTGAACAGGGGTGTTAAGAGCAGAGAGTATTATGTTCCTATGATGAAACTTTTTCTGAGTTATCCTACTTGCTATCCTAAGTCACTCCTTTGAGGCAGGCTGTGTGCTTTTCTTTAACTGATCAAAGGTTTGGATAGTGTTGGCTTTTCTTTTTTTTTTTGAGACGGAGTCTCGCTCTGTCGCCCAGGCTGGAGTGCAGTGGCCGGATCTCGGCTCACTGCAAGCTCCGCCTCCCGGGTTTACGCCATTCTCCTGCCTCAGTCTCCCAAGTAGCTGGGACTACAGGCGCCCGCCACCTCGCCTGGCTAGTTTTTTGTATTTTTTAGTAGAGACGGGGTTTCACCGTGTTAGCCAGGATGGTCTCGATCTCCTGACCTCGTGATCCGCCCATCTCGGCCTCCCAAAGTGCTGGGATTACAGGCTTGAGCCACTGTGCCCGGCCTAGTGTTGGCTTTTCATTGGAAGTTCTCAGGAATGATACGAACATTTGTATTGTTTTGGTCTCAAGGTTAAATTTTAAATTAATGATACATTTTATGGTATGCATTTCCAGCCTAAAAAGCTAATGCTGATTCATTCATTTTTTCTTTTGAAACAATGAATATTACTTAATCTTTAGGCTGACATCAATAGCTTCGTGAACTTTTTCCTTTTGTATAATTTTAAATGGATGGTTTTTGCAGTTTGTGAATACCTCTGTCTCTTGATTAGATAACTTTTTCTTGGTATAAAAAGTTTGCTTATCTGCGTCCAACGTTATTCAGATCGAATAATTTGCCATATGAACTCTTGTTTACTCTATAAGCTCTGGTAGCTATCTGGTTTTCCTTTCCATGTTAAAATACTTTAGTCTTTAAGACCCAATTCAAATACCAACAACTCCTTTAAGTTTTTCTTGATCTTTCTGGACAGAATCCGTTGCACTTTTCTGTTATTTTTGTTACTCTTTTTGTAATATTTATTGCACTTAATTTCACTTGTTCAGTGCCTTAGCACAGTGTAGGACAGAGATACCTTCTCTTGTTTGTTGTGGTATTCTTGGTGCTTAGTGTGACATTTGTGATAGAGTAACTGCTTCATAAATATTTTTTGAATGATTAGTTCTGTGCTTCCAGCATGATATTTGTACCCCTCTCTCTCTTGTTTAAGCACTTTTAAATTTTGACTTGTATTGCTGTTAACTTGTCTTTCTCTCTGCTTTCTGTAAGCTTTCTAAAAACACCAATTGTCTTATTTTTGTTCATAGTAGCATTTTTTTTTAAAAGGCATCTTCAGGGTTAACCAAGTTGTTAAAATGCCTTTGAAATGATAAATCTCCAAAAATATGGTGATTAATGAAAATACAATTATGTGCTTTCACTTTCATTAATTTAGACCAACCTTCCTTTTAAAGGGTTTAGAAATTTTGACAAATTATCTGAAAATCTGTGAAAGACATTTGAGAAGGGTTTTAAATTAGATTTTCTACTACTTAGGTTATTCTGCTATTTTAAAAATTCTTACAAAGATAAAGGTTTTAAAATCTGTGAACCTTTTAATAGAGGTACATTTGACCAGGCACTGTGGCTCATGCCTGTAATCCCAGCACTTTGGGAGGCCCAAGGCTGGCGGATCAGTTGCGGTCAGGAGTTCGAGATCAGCCTGGCCAACATGGTGAAACCCCATCTCTACTAAAAATACAAAAATTCACTGGGCGTGGTGGCACACGCCTGTAGTCCCAGCTACTCAGGAGCTTGAGGCAGGAGAATCACTTGAACCCTAGAGGCGGAGGTTGCAGTGAGCCAAGATTGCACCCCTGCTCTCTAACCTGGGAGACAGAGACTTTGTCTCATAAAGAAAGAGATACATTTGGAAATCTCCATGAAACCTTACTGTGCTCTGTGGCAAAACAAAACAAAACAAAACAAAAAAAAGATACATTTGGAAATCTCTGTGAAACCTTACTGTGCACATCAAACAATTTTCACTTTCTATTCTGTGTACAGAATTTGTGACCTTGAGTCATGTTTATATTGTTCTTTGTTGTTACTAGTCATTTTAAGCTCAGAGTATTCAGCCAGAGTTATTAGTAATCCACAGAATTGAAAGGTAGATAATGTTTTTCTCCAAATAATGCTGCACTGTTCCTGGTCTAGTTGATGTTTTCATTTTGTCTTACTGTGATTTTCCCAACTTTTCATATCAGAATTAGGTATATGTTAAAGCAGTATAGCTAAAATTTTTTTTCATTTTCTATGTATTTGGAGCTGACACAAAAAATTATAGTATCAAAAGAGGAAACAAGTGGATCTGTTACTTCATGAGTAAGAAATACATTACCAGTGTCCTGATCTGGCTTAAATTTGTTTACACCCCCACATGCTCTGACTGCCAGATGTGTAGCAGCTAGGACAAGTATCTTAGGTTCATGTTTCACAATAGAAGAAAGAATAAGAGAAATACATATAGAATGAATGAGTTTTCTATGATGTAGGTTTTAAAGTAGGATCTGTGTACCTAAAATCAACCTACTTGCTGGCCATTTACATTTATGTACTTTTTTTCCCAAAGTAAATTAGAATTTGGGCAGGTGATTGATCAGTATATGATGAATAGTGCGTCGATGTTTAAGCCATTGATACCCTTAAAATCTTAATCTCTGAAAACTTCAAGCTGTTTTTTGTTTTTGTTTTTGTTTTTATTTTAAGAGTTTTAGGCTGGGCGCAATGGCTCATGCCTGTAATCCCAGCACTTTGGGAGGCCAAGGTGGGTGGATCACGAGGTCAGGAGTTCGAAACCAGCCTGGCCAATATGGTGAAACTCCGTTTCTACTAAAAAGATACAAAAATTAGCCAGGTGTGGTGGTGTGTGCCTGTAATCCCAGCTACTGGGGAGGCTGAGGCAGGAGAATTGCTTGAACCCAGGAGGCAGAGGTTGCAGTGAGGTGAGATCGTGCCGCTGTGCTCCAGCCTGGGGGACAGAGCAAGATGCCGTCTCACCAAAAAGAAAAAAAAAAGTTTTAGGTCGATTACTGTGATATGAATAGCCAGAGATAACTGATCAGAATACAGTGGAATTAGGATTTCTTAATGGAATTTAAATTTATAGTATCTTAAAATATTTTCAATTGAAAACCATGTCATTTAATTTTTGCTTATTTACATTAAAGACATTTTTTCCATTGAAAAACCATAATGAACATTACAGAAAACTTGAGAAACAGAAGAAGAAAGTTCACTACCTACCCTTCTAGCACGTTGTATTAGTCTGTTTTCACCTTGCTGATAAAGACATACCTCAGACTGGGCAGTTTACAAAAGAAAGAATACCACATTGGATTGAAGCCTCACAATCCTGGCACAAGGCAAGGGAGGAACAAGTCACATCTTACGTGGATGGTGGCAGGCAAAGAGAAAAGAGCTTGTACAGGGGAATTCCTCTTTTTAAAACTATCAGATCTCGTGCGACTTAATTCACTCATGAGAACAGCACGGGAATGACTTGCCCCCATGATTCAGCTACATCCCACCGGGTCCTTCCCATAGCACATGGGAATTCAGGATGAGATTTGGGTGGAGACACAGCCAAACAGTATCAGACATCCAATTTGGTGTTTTCTTTCCTTTCTTTTTTTGTTGCATACATTTTTTATTTTTACTAGACAGTTTCTTCTGTAAATAGCATGCTATGTAACTTGTTGCCGACTGTTTACAATCTGCTATTCAAACCCATGACTTTCCCTACAACCTGATTTGCTTGACCTACCTAATGCTATTTATTTCTAGCAATATAAAGGTAATGCAAAAGACATTTTGGTAATTTTTAGACAGATAATCTGGTAGCTGACTGTATTTTGTACAATTAAAAGAATAAAATAGATCACATTAGCACTAATGACTACATTAGATTATTAGGAGCCACAAGGAGATCTAAGTTATTTTTTGAAATAACTTACATTTTTCTAAGTTAGAAAAGTCCAACTTAGAAAAGGTACAGTCATTCTTTTTCCCCCATGATATAAAAGATTACATTTTAGCTTTTTAATTAGACTATGTTTATTATGTTTATTAAGTATTTACTAATTATATATATGTATATATATAAAAAACATCTTTAGTTTCACTGGAAATATTTTGCTATGTGATAGAGGCTGCAAGGTAAAGAACAGAATACAGTGGGGTTAGCTAAACTGCAAGGATTTTGGGTGAGTAGTTTGGCCTAATAACTGAGTATGAGAAGCCTGGTTTCCGTATTTATCTTCTGTCACTTGGCAGTTGTATGATTGTAGGCAGGCTGTTTAACTTTTTCTGGTCTTTCTCTTTGTCTGTGCAACATGATGTTAATTCTGATCTTAAAGAGATGTTGTGAAGAGCAGTACTGTTTGTTGTTCATTCAGCAAATAGCAGTGGAAGGGCTTCTAGGTGCCAGACAGTGTGGTAGTGCTAAAGTTCTAGCAATGAACAAGCCTGCCCTCCAGGAGCTTCCAGCCTACAGTATTAAAAAATACTACCTTAAACAGTAATGTTTTGTAATGGTTTGGCTTATCCTGATAATGATCTGTTACTGTCGCAAAGAGGATCAGTGGAATTTCACTGTAATTTTTTTTCGCTGTTAAGTAGAATTCAACTCTGTCAAGTTTCTTTAGGACCAAAATAACTTCGTTTTATGGTGAATTTCTAATATAAATCCAGATATTCTTTTAATATGTTTATAAGAATTTGAGAATTAAAAATTAGTTACTTTATCCTGGCATTTTTCTGTTGTGTCAAATAATTTTCTAAAGAAAGAATCACTTTGTTTAGAAAATATGAGTGTGCCAGGAGAATCTTTACATTTTAACTGAGTAAGACCTTGGTGTAATTTTTTCTCTATGTAATTGAGCCTCATTTCATTAATCTATTAGGATGCCAACAAACTTGAACTCAGTTCTTAACCACATCTCAAGTGTGTATTTGTGTAGTGGTGGTAGCCTCAGATGTGTTTGGAATATTTTAGATTGCTGAATATTAATGATGGTGGACTTAGAATCCCTTTCATCTTGTCTTAAGTAGGTTAGATTTCCTGGTCTCTGTGCTTTACTTTGGGAAATAATCAGGGGAGAGGTACAGTAGGGTAGTTACTATTAAACTTTAGTTCATAATTGGACTCTGTTTTGTCCTTGCTCTATTGGTGGCCTTGAGTTTTATTCATCTGTAAAATGGATAACCACATCAATTTCATAAGGTTATTGTGAAAATAAAGCTACATAATGCATGTAGAATGCTTTACATTGCACATAGTACAGCTCCAATAAATATTAGCTGTCATATTTTAAAATTGTCACTTTTTATTTGAAATCAATTCCAAGTTTTGAGTTGTTGTGACTTTAGTGTTTCTCATATTAAATTGCTTTGATTTAACGTTTTAGCTATAATTAGGTGCTGGACCTAATAACAGAATTGCAGGAATTACCCAAGAGAATTGTTAAAAACTAAAAACTTGTATTGACCAGACTGAGGTGTTACAGACTCTAGTATGACATACGTTACTAGAAATTTAATTTTGTGTGTGTGTATGTGTGAGTATTTTAATTTGTTTTTTGAGACAGTCTCGCTTTGTCGCCCAGGCTAGAGTGCAGTGGTGCACTCACAGCTCACTGCAGCCTCAACCCCTTGGGCTCAAATGATCCTCCCACCTCTGCCCCACTAAGTAGCTGAGACTATAAGCACACACCACCAAACCTGGCTACCTTTTAAAGTTTTTGTAGAGATGGGTTTTCACCACGTTGCCTAGGCTGGTCCCAAACTCCTGGGCTCAAGTGATCTGCCTTGGCCTCCCAAAACATGAGCCACTGCACCTGGCCAAATTGTGATTTTTTAAGTGCAGAGAGAAATTGACGTTTACTTATCTTAAACCAGTTTATTTCCTGTACAACTTTTATTTTAGGTTTTCTTAGGAGCGTATTTATTTTCTTCATCCTGAACTAATTACTTCATTTTAGATCCTTTAAAGGTTTAGATTTAGCATTGGTCCCTGCTGTTGTTGGGTTTACCAGCTAGGAGAGATGACATACCACTCATCAAATGTTGAATAAGAATGTGTCATAGGAACAGTGCAGAATGCTGCTGGGTGATATAAAAGGAAAGGGGCACTGTCCCCAATCTGGAAGTGACAAGGTAGGGCCAAAAGAGAGGAGGATAGGAAGAGCATGCTTCCAGAGAGAGAACAGTTTATTTGAATGGTCTAAGGTGGGAGAGATCATGGTTGGTTCCAGAAACTGAAAATTCAGTGCCGAGCATGGAAAGCAAGAAAGAGACCTAAAGCAAAGCTGAGGCCAGTATATTGATGGACTTTTTATGTCTCTTGATATTGTTTTTAGATTGTGGACTTTCTCTTGAGGACAAGAGGGAATCAATAAACAGTTTTAAGTAGAGAATTAACAAGAGCATCACCCTAACTCTATAGAGAATGGGAGACCTCTTGAGTTAGGAGTTGATGGCGGCTTGCACTGTGGTGTATCGAGCATAGAAAAAAGAGGACTACTTAGAGATTTAAGAGGGAGAATTGACAATAATCAGTGCTTGGATGCATATAGGTGGTTGGAGAGGAGTGAGGTTCAAAAATGACTCTTGGGTTTCAGGTTTGAGGCACTGATGTGGTGGGATGGTGATCCTGTTTACTGAGATACAGAATTGTGGAGGAAGAGCAGATTATGAGTTCAATTTTGGATATAAGTTGAGGTACTGTTTAGACCAGTGGTTCTCAAAATGTCCCTTGACCAGCAGCAACATCATCATCTGGCAATTTTAAAATGTTGAAAATGCGGATTCTTGTGTCCTACTGCAAACCTACTCATAAACGCTGGGTGTGGGGCTCAGCAATCTATTTTAACAGGCCCTTCAGGTGATTATGAGACACTCTAACATTTTGAATACCTCTTGTCCGGATTCAGCAAACACTGTTGGTAAAAGGCCCATTAGTAATTATTTTAGGCTTTGTGGACCATAGGTCTTTGTGGCAACTGCTCAGCTCTGCCCTTGTATTGAGAAAACCGCCACAGACATCATGTAAACAAATAAACGTGGCTGTTTGACTAAAACTTTTATTTACAAAACAGACAGCAGGCGCATTTGGCCCAAAGTCTATAGTTTGCAGACTCTGGTCTAGACTCCAGACAAATATTGTAGTTATTACCAGGATAAATGACATATTAATGAAAATATGGAAGTTGGAAGTCAATATGAATAGCTGCTTATAATAATATAGCTTATTAGTTTAAGGAAATAAACTAGTACTTTTGATTGTTGATTTTATTTTCATCCTTAGTCATTTTACCTTTCCCCACAGGGAAATAATTAATCTTTGTTTTAGTATAAAACATACTCTCATTGCTAAAAATTTCAAACATCACAAAAATCAGTAGAACAGAAGATACATCTCCAGTGGTCCTCCAAGCCCTTGACCCAAATATAATATTAAATTTTGATGACTATTTTTGAGTTCTTTCTGTATATTATTTATTGTTTTCACTATCAATTTTTAAAATAACATATGATTTTTGAAAAATTGTTTACTTGGTAAGTGATTTTTCAAATTATGTAATTATAACTTAGTTTTTTTCTCATTTCTTTGAAGGTTGTTTTGGAAACCGAAATAACAAATAAGTCTGCTTTGAAACTTTATGAAAATCTTGGTTTTGTTCGAGATAAGAGGCTGTTCAGATACTATTTAAATGGAGTTGATGCACTGCGACTTAAACTGTGGCTGCGTTGAGAAACCGACATCGAGAAACAACTTTCAACCACACAGAATCGACCTTTGCATGCAATGCAATTTGTACAGAATTGCTTTGCAGGTGGATTTAGTAATTTCCATGCAGCTCTTATCTGTCAGTGTCTCATTGAGTGTCGCACAATATTTGTTGCACTTTGGCATGGCGCATTTGTTCTGAATTAAAAGATTGTTTTAAACTTCAGGAGTTCTTTTGGTACCAACAAGATGTGCCAGTTGATAGCCAAGATTTATGTGTTCACTTGCAAAGTCTGCTGACAATGTTATTTACACAGTGATCATTTTTTCACAGAACCAGTAAGTGGAACATAATTTTTGTTCCTTAAAAAAGCCAATGTGGATTGTAAAAGTCTCTAAGTATACTAACATTTCACACAAAACCTGCCCTAGTTTTCTGAAGGGGGTGAGGGAGAAGATGCTTCAGTTTTAGGTTTAATTTTTTCAATATTAAATTTTCCATTCTTGAATATTGGTACCTCAGTGATTAGTGAATGAAAAAAATGTAGGGTGGGGTATGTCTTACAATGAGTAAAGGTAACAATTAAATTTTGTCTGCCAGTGCCTGTGTAGATAGGTATATTTGTCTTCATCTCTAGTTTTTGAATGCATGCTATCTTTTCCCTTTCTTTAAGGCCTTTGCAAGCACACTTTTGTTTTTATTTAAATTCTAAATTTGATAATAAATTATTTCAGATTTTTATAATTTGGATACTTTTTTTCAGGTGAATAACAGAATGGTTTACTTTAGAAGTCCCTTTTTCCTTACAGTAACAAGTTGAATCTACTTGGAAAATTGAGAAATGGCTCAAAAGAGATAAGAAAAGTTGATGGAGCCGGGAATTGCTGGGTTTTAGATGCACTTTTTCTTTTGAGAGTAAGGGAAGTTTTGGAAAAGAATAGAAAATTAGTGTAAATTGATATGATTTTATTTAATCAAAATTACTGCTATGCTGTGAAGAACAGCTTTTACAAAGTAGCTGAATTTGTTTTTCCCACTTGATTTGGATTCACATTGCTTTCATTTCTTAAAATGCTTCCCTTTAGGTTCTTGGTCTTGGAAATAAATTTCAAGGTGCATTGTATCCATTTTAAGCTGCTTTATTTTATTTTCACTTGTAAGAGCAAATTCTTAGGGGAGCTTTGCTTTTCTTCTGCCAGAAAAACAAAAGGGGGAAATGAAAATCTTTTTTGGAATGAGTTCTGTGGGTTTTCTTAACTGCCACCATGTTTATTAGTTACATTGTGTTTTGGCCAATCAGTGCAATGTAACAAATTTTCAAGTTAATTGCTTTCAATTGAGTCAGTAAACCTGTGATAGATAATTTATTTAACTGGAAAACCTAGGTACCCTTAAGAAAAAAGATTCATTCTCTGTGAAAACTGTAGGAATCTGTTGTTGTTGTTTTCATTTGAATATACTCTACTTCTGCTCTAGTATTTGGTTTGGAATATATTTTGTGGCTCTAATTACTGTATTTTTAAAAACCCTACCTCCATTAACAGTTGGTAAATGCCCCTTTTCAGGAAAGTTTGTTGCTTTTTTTTTTTTTTTTAAAGGAAAGCTGCTCTTTGCTCAGTATAGTGTTTTGAAGGTGAACATAGTAACAAATACTTTAAAAATAAAGATACACAATTTATATTTGAAAATAAAAACTTTCTGCTGGTGGGATTATTTATAGTTCTTTATTTTTAAAGACAATGTTTTCCATTTTATATTGCTCGTGAAAGTTTAATGGGCAGGATACTGGTTATAATAAAAATATGGTAACCACACAGTACTCAGCTTTTCAGTATGTTGTTGGTCAAACTTCATTTAGGCACTAGCGTTTAGAAGAATACCAACTATAGTGATGCTTTTATTTAATATGAAGGAAATTGAACTAAAACATATTTATGTCATCAAATTTTATTTCACTCCTTTATATTTGACTTGCTGGTTGATGCATAATGGTTGATGAACATATATTTGCTTGAATCATAATGGGGATGGTTGTAAAGTAGATAGATGGTAGGTCATTGGTTCAACCATTTTAGTGTTTTTGCCAGATTGTCAATGAAACCATCATACTGACCTTTTCCTTTGAAATTGCCGAATTGACTGAACTGATTGGGTGTTTGTAAACATGACGTTAACTGTGTGACTAAAAAGTCAGATGGTTGCCATATTGTTTGGTGTATGTTAAATGTCAGTGTATGCCTTATGTCTTTAATTGGGTATGCAAAAATTTTTTTACTTAAGTAGATTAAAATTTTTAACCTCTAGCATGAAAACCCAACACCAACACTGAAAGACTCCATTCAGGTTGAAGTAGCCTCAAACAGTAATTTACTTTTTGATAATAGGCTGTTATTTTTCTTAAATAAGCTTAAAATAATTCTATTTGAAATCGATAGCATGGGTTCACTTGGCTAAAACTGAGCAAAATAGGTGCAACTTTCTTTTAATGGGGTGCTGCCTCTTTAGGACTGACTGTACTATCCACTGACACTGGTTTGGCAGTTGGTACTGCTGAACATTTTTATACATGCTACCATGAAGCTATATATGTTAGTATTGAAGAAGCTAACGGGTATACTATCATTTTTGATGTGTGGGCTGATTATAATTTCCTGTACATTGGGATGAAACTACTTTAGCAAAGTCCACAGATCAGAAACCATACAGTAGTTTTTGAAGTTGAAACCAGCAAAATAAGAAAAAATTAAAAGTCAATTTTAATATTTTCTGCCTCTTTCCCAAATTACCCTTCCCACTTGCTCGACAAATCTATGTAAAGCAGTTTGTTTTTCATGTTTTAACTTTACCTTGCCCTGTGTTATGGTACTGGCTGACATGTCTCAGACTGGATGTGTATATTTATTATGGTGTCTAAAAATCATGAAGTTCATCACTTTTCAGGAGTATAGATAAAATCAAATTGGTAGTGCATCAGAGTTACTTTTCAGTGCACCATGACATCACTAAAATGAGTGCTGTAATGTTACAGGGCTTTCAGGTTTGTAAAAACATAACCATAAATTATATTGACGTCAGATATGAGTTGAGTATCTATAAAATATCACGTGTATCTCAAAATATTGGACTGCTGTTTGACTGGATATTGCTGCATAATTTTCTTCTATTGTCCCATATCCTTTTGGAGAGAGATTTAATGGGATTTGAAATGTGCAAGCTGTCTAAATAAGATGCAGTCAAATAAAGTATGGTTAAGTTGTGTTTGCATTTTTCTTTTAGATACAGCTGTGTGCATTTTATGATTGGGTTGTTTTGCTTTTACCCACTAAGTAAAACAGCAACAAGCAATATATTATTTCCCACTTCCTGCCTTTCATCTAAGAGTTACGGGGAGGACGTATTACATAATTGTCATCACTGTTGACAAAGTAAATTTGAAAATAATGTGAACTTGATTTTCCTAAAAGTATTCAGTTAGTCAACTCATATGTCAGATATCAGTACATTTTCCATGTGTTGAGTCAAAAGTTTATCTTTTTAGTCTGTTTCATAGCAGTTTATTTCTAAGACAGTTTTTATTTTACTTTTTTGTCTGTACACTGCCACTCTAATGTTCCCCCCGCCCCACCCTTGGTAAGACACCAAAGTAAAATAGAGCAATATCTAAAGAGCCTTTGCCCCTGTCTTGTGAGGAGCTTTAAATAGCTGTGAATACTTCTATATGTCAAGATTTTCAGATTTAAGTGGAAGGATGAAATGATCTGTTTTAATCATTTAACTGCTAAATTACTTTTATCATGCATGCCAAATCTTTACATTATTCTTTATAGTAATGCTGTAAAAGTTTCTGAGTTTGTTTTATTTGGGCCTTATGTGGAACCCTAAATACTTCATAAATTCAATCTAAAGTCTAAAAACCAGAAGGTTGATACCATTTTTTCACACCAGTGAACAAACACATCATTATTCACCTGTAGCCCAGAAGTGTTAGATTTATTTATTTTTTGAGACAGAGTCTCACTCTGTCGCCCAGACTGGAGTGTGGTGGCACAATCTTGGCTCACTGTAACCTCTGCCCCCTGGGTTCAAGCAATTCTTGTTCCTCAGCCTCCCGAGTAGCTGGGACTACAGGCGCATGCCACCACGCTCAGCCAATTTCTTATATTCTTAGTAGAAACGGGGTTTCACCATATTGACCAGGCTGGTCTCGAACTCCTGACCTCAAGTAACCTGCCCATCTCGGCCTCCCAAAGTGTTGGAATTACAGGTGTGAGCCACCATGCCCAGCCTATGATACTCTTTTTATAAGCAACTTTTAAAAAGTTTTTAGAATCTCATAAGCATATAGCATGGTTACACTTTCTTCAGATCACTGCTGTCTAGTCACACTTCATATGAGGATAGATGTGTCCTTTTCACTCCCCAGTATGGTAGTTACTAGTCACATGTAGCTACTGAGCCCCTGAAGTATGGCTGGGATGATTGAGCTGAATTTGTAATTTTAATTAAAGTTAGCCACATGTGGCTTGTGGCTACTGTATTGGACAGCAGAGCTTTAGATAATTTAGGCAGTAATAACAGGAAGTGAGTGTTTGTATAGGTTGAAATGTAAAACGGAAGGATCACAATTAGGCCAGATATGGTGGCTCAGGCCTGTTATCCCAGCATTTTGGGAGGCTGAGATGTTAGTTTGTGACCAGCCAGGACAGCATAGCAAGACTGTCTCTGAAAAATCTTTTAAAATAACAACACTAAAAATTACCTCTGAGAAAAAGTATAGCTGAACTGTTTATACTGACAATATATTTCATTAATACAGTGTTTGACCACTCTCCACCCCACCAACAACTGCCCTCGTTATGTAGCCTTTCTGAGAAAAGCAGCCCTTTCAGATTTTATTGTTGTAAGTTCCTTGGGTTGCAGAGATGCAGATTCAAGTGCCAAAAGTTGTTTCTGATGAGACTCATCTTTTTAGCCTTAAAGTGTTTGTATAGTTGGCCCTAATAGTTTCTCATTTTAGATGAATTTAAAATCATTTCACTTCTAAATGAGATTGGTCATCTCATGAGTGGTGAAGTTGGAACATGGAGGTCTGTCATATTTTTAACCTCCAAGATCCACTTAAGGGATGAGGCCAAAGGCCAGTGTTATTTCTAGAAGAACGAGATTAATTTTGCTGTCTTCCATCACCACGGTGTGTTCCTTGACCCTCGCTGGTCATCTGGTAAGTGTAATTCATCAAAAGAGCAGGAATAGGGATAGTAAACACCTGGATACAAAGACAGTGCCAGGTTTGGTACAACCTGTTAACACTGTTGAGGAAAGAGCTCAAAACACACATTACTTTGGGAGCAAGTCAATGTTTAATCTCAATATGAAACAGACTTAGAAATAACAAAGACCACTGAAGTGCCAAATCTATCTTCTAATACTACTATTTATGCAATATGGGGGTTATAATGAAATAGTTTTAGTGTAATTATGTAAGGTTTTTATAATGCTAAGAAATAAGCTTATATTTAGATATGGATTTTTATGACTACCTCTTTGCTGTATGAATATCTTAATTTTCTAATACCTCAGTTTCATGAGAACTGTATGTACATTTTTGTAAATAAAATAATTTACCATATGCTAGGAGAAGGACCTGCTTTTAAAGAAATTGTATAAAGACATTTGTTACTGGATGTGTTACATAGTAAATCAATTTGAAATTTCTTAAAAACGTTTATAAGACTTTTCTGGTCTCCTTGACCGAGGGATTTTAGTAAAAGTATTTAGTGAGATTTGTATTCCAGGAAGTGTGTGCCATCACTTGTTCATTTGCAACTGCAAAGATTTGTATGTCTCCTATGTTTTCCTTTCATGCCAAAGAAACTCACCCTTTTTAAAAGCCAGCAGGTTGCACAAACCAAAAACAAAATATTTTGCCCCTTAAATAGGCATTTTAAGAAGTTTTATTTCCTGGTATTTAAATATTGTATAGCGGGGAATCTAGTTGTAATAATTTGTAAAAATGCATGTATTTTTAGGAATGCACTAATTCCATTAAGGGAAGTATTGACATTTTTAAGGAACTGTGCTGCATTAAAATCCACAGTTGCATGAAACTTTTAAAAGTTTAAGATAGAAAGTAATTGCTAAAATTTGTGAACTGCTCAGAGGATTCAATGCCCTAACATGCAGGGGATTGATCACTGTGATATTTAAGCCAAGATTTCTCATGATTGTATATGGTTATTGATCATTTTTAAGGGGCTGAACCTGCTGCCTTTATACTTTTGACACCTCCTTCCCTCCCTCCCTCCCAACTGTGGCTGTAAACAGTGACTCTGCACAGTCAGCGTTATACTTGATTTCTTTGTGAATGCAAATAAAATAAAATTTGTAAGTCCAAGTATTGACTTAACTAGGTAAATGTAAACTGATTTCAAATTTGTCTTTGGCCAAGTCTGCTTAATAACTTATGATAATTTGGAAACGACGGACATCGATATGGATGTGGGCATTGTGTTTAAGTCATTGTGGGATATTTTCTTCGTATTAGGAACTAATAATGAACGTTCAAAGTTTATTTTTATCCTGATGATAGTGGGCAAGTTTCTTAATTTCTCTGGGCTTTTAGTGATAACTACCTGATGAGCTAATTGTGAAGAATAAGTGAGATAATTTATGTACATAAATTACCTTAACAATGCCTAGTAGCCTAGTACATCGTAAGCAAATGGTAGCTATTAATAGTATATATAATATAATTTGCATATAATTTTATATTTTGCATATTGAGGTTTTTGGTTTTTATTTTTTGTTTTTTGTTTTATGAGACGGAGCCTCTCTCTTTTGCCCAGGCTGGGGTGCAGTGGTGCGGTCCTGGCTCACTGCAACCTCCGCCTCCCAGGTTCAAGCGATTCTCCTGCTTCAGTCTCCCAAGTAGCTGGGACTGCAGGCACGTGCTACCACGCCCAGCTAATTTTTTGTATTTTTAGTAGAGACGGAGTTTCACCACGTTAGCTAAGCTGCTCTCGATCTCCTGACCTTGTGATCCACCAGCCTCGACCTCCGAAAGTGCTGGGATTAGAGGCGTGAGTCACCCCGCCTGACTGGCTATTGAGTTTTATAGTGTTATTTAAATGACAGAAGTTATCTAAATATTATGTTAGATCTTGCAAGAGTAGCCCAGACTGTAGCAAATGAAGAGAAAAATCTTTTTTCATTTCTAATACGGAGAATATTAAAATAGGTAGATAGAATAGTATAATGAACTCTCCATATACTTATAAATCAGGCCCAATGCCATGGCTAATCTGGTCCTGTTCATCTCTACCCACCCCATACTATTTTAAAACTAATCCCAGAGGTTATATTTTATCCATAAGTATTTCAGTACTCATCTCAAATGGTAAGTCTCATTTTTAAAAAACATAAACCATGATACCATCTCACACTAATCCTTAATCATCATATAACCAGTAAATGTTCCAATTTCTAGGAAATTATTTTTAATAACATTGGGATATATTATGGAGAGTAAATATGAATACAGAGGAGTTACTCTTATGTATATAAGATAATTAAAGGAAATGATTAAGTGGAAGAGGTGAGGTTGAGAATAGGGGCTGTGTCTTGCATATCCCAAGTGCCTAATGTTTTCCTATGGATATAATAAGGCATTTATTGGTAGAAAAATGGAGCTGATAAATATGGTGAAATTACCAACATTGACTAAAGAATGACTTTTAGGAAAGGGTTTTGAACTTATACACATCTAGATGTGTATAAGAGACAGTCTCAAATGGTAAGTCTCATTTTTAAAAAACATAAACCATGATACCATCTCACACTAATCCTTAATCATCATATAACCAGTAAATGTTCCAATTTCTAGGAAATTATTTTTAATAACATTGGGATATATTATGGAGAGTAAATATGAATACAGAGGAGTTACTCTTATGTATATAAGATAATTAAAGGAAATGATTAAGTGGAAGAGGTGAGGTTGAGAATAGGGGCTGTGTCTTGCATATCCCAAGTGCCTAATGTTGTCCTATGGATATAATAAGGCATTTATTGGTAGAAAAATGGAGCTGATAAATATGGTGAAATTACCAACATTGACTAAAGAATGACTTTTAGGAAAGGGTTTTGAAATATCAGCAAGGCATGGCAGGAAAGATAATTGGGTGAGTGGAAGAGAAAAAGGTGGTAATATGTGCACAAAGTTTTAATAGAGATGATTAATCTAGTGAAGACAGTTTAGGTGAAAACCTGA